TTTTAACTTAATGTTTTTCTCCAGTTAACGCATTATAAATTGCTAAAACTGTAAGGATGCTTTATATGAGTTTGCTTACACGAGAGAGTTTATCGTCAAAGGCAAGTACTTTAAACAACTAATGAGTAGTTTGCTAATTCAAAAAATCATTAAAAGTAAAATTCACCACATTATAAAACTAATTCTCTCCAGAAGATGAAAGCACCAATCATTATAACGGTCATTAATCTCCATCACGAAGTTTAAACATTTCCCAGATGGCCAGATGAATCATTAGATACACGTCGTGCAGCGATTAGCAGTTTTCATTCATGCCTTAATAAACACTAAAAGGGTAATTAGCTGGGGACAACTCAATAAACCCAAAAAATGTTGTAGATAATAGTGTAAGTAAATCACCACTGCATGGCCACGCCCGACATGTGAATTTGCTAAGACGACATCAAAAAATTGTGCATCCTCAGGAAGATAGTGAATCTCATCCTCTTCAGCATTTGGAGTTGCTTCATTCTCTGTCCACTTGCAGGCCTGCAAAAACCATAAAATTACAAAATTTATCAAAACACAATTAGTTTACATATTTTATGTCAGATATTGGGTTCTAACATACAAACTTTTACACAAGAACTAAGAATTTCACCATTAATCTTCGGACTCTTAATCAGTTGCATTGTCCTGCTCATGAGTTTAAGTCGATCTGAACAAGGTCAACTTATTGTTGTTACTATTCGAGTTCCAATTATACTAAAACAAATATAATTTGTCTGGTATTGTCTACAAATCAACTCAAGAACACGTTTTTATGCCCACTTAGATAGATTCATCTTCATAAAACAACGCTGGGCAATCATTATACAATTACAGCTCAACTAGGGCACCACAATCATCAGGGCCCTCGTATTTAAAAATTAAACATATTATGCTTCAAGAACTCATCTCAAACGATCTTCTTTATGAACACACACACACATACACATACAAGAAAAGGGAAAAACAAAAAATAACATGGCTTTATTACAATATTCATCTCGACCCGTTACTCTAAAACAAGGAAAGATTCATCTGCTGCATCAAAATCCAAGAAAATATTTTTCCAAACTATGTTATAAGTATTTTTTTTTTTTAAATAAAGGGTCATGAACAGTATTCGAAGTACCTCCGTTTTCACAGCGACGGCTGGAGCGCCGTGTTTGGAAAGACCCGACATATTTACCGCTGCTAAGTTTTGCATGTGTTCTTTCGCCGGTAAACAGGGCAGACCCAGGTAGAAATTTTGATTTGATTTTGAAGGTAAAAAGGTAAGTGTTGTTTGGTAGGGCTGCACATTCGGTCAAAATCGAACCGAACCAACCGAATTTTCGGTTAATAAAACCGAAAACGGAACGGAAAACTACGGTTCGGTTCAGTTTCAAACGGAAAATCCAACGGTTTTTTCGGTTATAAATATAGAAATTACAAAAATATAATACATAATTCGTGAGTTACCCAAATTCAGCTCAAAGACAAAATTTATCCAAAAAAATAATAATAATAATAATAACAAGCTTGAATTGGTTCAATCGAAATTCAACAATTTAGTTCAATCGAAACGAAATAATCACAAATTAAAAGAAGGCTTCAAAGTCTTGAAAATTTGAAAATCACGAACATGAAGTGCAGTCCGTACGAGGAGATTACGGAGGCGAACTCAACTGAGATTTGAGAAGACGAGGTCGCCGTCGAGTGACGGCCTGCCGAGTAAATGGAGTATGTGGAGTACGGGAGCGGGACGAGCGGCGGATGGGTGGAGCCACGGAGGTAGGGGCGGATTCATGTATGGTCCAGCCTAGGCAATTGCCTAGGCTGGATTTCTTCTGCTAACTATATAATCTATATATTAACATATGTTGATTGTTGATTAAAAAAAATTATATTTAATAATTGTAAAAATATAAAATACAAGTTTTAATTTTAAAATTTTAAATAATTCTTACAAAGTAATATTATTTTTCATTTAAAATGATACACCTCGCCTGTCAGATTCGACGGTATTATATTACAATATTTTTGCTTCTTATACCATATAGTAAGCTTGTAGATAAATTTATCATTTTTTAATTATAATTGATAAATATTTAAATTTAATTATTTTTATTTATATATACGATATGAATGTCAAATTATAGATTACGAAAATGTGATTAATGTAATTTATCATATATAAAAAATAATAACAAATGTAAATATTATTAACTTTTAAAATGTATTTAGAATTTAAATTAGTCAAGTGTTCATATTTGAAAGTCCTAACAAACATGAATGAAGGTCGATATTTATATGGACTACTTCGAACCCTTATAAAGTACTACAAAACTCTACATTTGTATGTAAGAAGATCATAAGGGCCTCTTTATAAAACAACATAAACTAAAATGATGACATTTAGGCTTTTTTAAAATTTGTAAATTATATTTCAAAACGACTCATTTATGACTTATTACAGAAAATGACAGAAAATGGATCGTAAAATACTTTTGATATACTTCTTAATAATAAAAATGCGAAAAAAAGAAGTCAGACCCCGTTCTTCATTTCATTTTGAGCATCGAGTCAAAGGTAAATTGAATAGAGAATCTCTCTCGATTGTTTCAACGATTTATTTAATTGTTAATATAAGTATTCTATGCAATCTTGTTGAAAGCTTTCTTTTAATTATTTTTGCCCTGGCTCATAAAAAATTCTGGATCCGCCGCTGCACGGAGGTAGGGTTTCTGGTTTCTAGCGTCTTCGAACTTTGGGACTCGGAGTGGGACGGTGCGTCGGTGTCTGTAATATGTGGGAGACAAGGTTGTGGGAGAGACTAACGGAGCAAATAAAATGAGTAATATTATCATATGGGCCTAATCCTATGGGAGAAGTCACAATTGACAAATGAGGAGACTATGGGCTGGGTGGGATTCATTTGCCATTTGGGCCGTGAGTGGGCCGTGGGTGTTGGACTTGGGTATCCTTTTTTTTTTTTGATCGTTTAGGACTTGGGTATCATTAATTCATTATAGTGGACCTTTTACAACATATATGCAATATTGGTTTTCGGTTCGGTTCGATTCTGTTAACCGATAGTTTATATCAAAATCGAACCGAAACCGAAATATTTAAAAAACATTAACTGAAAACCGAAGCAGATTTTCGGTTTCGGTCTGTTAACCATATTTTGTGCAGCCCTATTGTTTGGCATGCCCCACTTTTTTTGGTAAATAGATTCAGTTTAGTATAGAAAGAGAACAACAAATACATGAAGCCTAACATGTGGGCAACAAATAATAAGAAATAAAGTAATATAATGACATTTAATGTGATGTGGCCCCTGTGTGGTCCAATTATGGCATTTGACGGCTTCCATAGACGTCTGTCTTGTTGATAAATGCGTGTCCTCTGAAGACGACTTCTTCACGGTATTCGGATCGGTCGGTTTGTTAGATTCTGCCCGGCCCTGTAGTAGACGAGCTCGATAATCGGGGACATATTCATCATCTGTGGTCAAAGTCACATCGGAAATAATCCAGGTCGGTCCAGAATAGAACCGATTGGTATATGAAGATCAACTCGAAAAACTTGTCGTTTATATATTTATTTGTTGCGTATTTTAGCTTCTCGTTTATTTTGCCACATGTCACTTTTTATTAATCGCGACCAAATTAAAATATCGGTTTGAACACTAGGGTTTAATTCTCTATGATATAAGTCATAGAGGAAATTTAGTTGGACATATAGTTCTCTATATACCTTCATTTATTATATAGTTTCATATTTTTTTGACATCAATATTCAAGCTGAACAATCCTGGATTTTATATCTCATTTATTGTATACTTTCACATTTTTCTGACATTAATCTTCAAGCTTGACAAGCCTGAATTTCTCGTCACACTCGACTGGTGTCACTAGCCTGATCAAGTCGGGTGCAGCTCATTATAGGCCTGTAAACGAGCCGAGCCGAGCTCGAGTTTAGGGTGCTTAAGTCTTTAACGAGCCGAGTCGAGCTAGGCTCGTCAAATAAATGAGCTAGAAATCGAGTTTGAGCTTAGCTCATTTTAACAAGCCGAGTTCGGACCTTAAAGAGCCTATTTCGAGCTTTAACGAGTCGAGCTATAGAAAAAAAAATAAAAAAAAAATCTATTTTCGAGTCTTATCGAGCCAATCCAACTCGGCGAGTTAACCAAACGGGCTTCAAATAATCTCGAACTCGACTCGTTAAAGGGTAGCAGAACTAAACTCAACTACACTTCGATGGCCTCTAATGTGTGCAAGGCATTTGGGTGATGTTTGGGTGTTTGTCTGTTTGTGTTTCCATGCATGGTATATGTTATGTTTTTGCTACTTTCATTTGATGGGACTCTTTGGTTATGGCCTGCAAAATGGCTTTGTCATTCAAGAGATTTTTTTTTTTTTTTTGGTTATATTCCCTGAGATTTGTTTTAACAATCTACTGAAATCAGTTTAATTCATTGCTTTCTTTTTCCTTTTTTCTGTCTCCATTGAAAAGTTTTCAGACAAATGCAGTACAATTTTCAACACCACACAGCTACTCCTGGTAATAAAAGAACAAACAATATTGTCACTGTTTTGGAGACCAATATTGAGAAAAAAAGATAACTAAAAATCACATCACCAAAAGAAATCACACCTGGTAATACCAAATATAGCAACCAAAACAATCCTTAATCAAGTATCAAAATATTACACAAAACAACACACCATATCAAATACCCCATAAAACCTGAAATCTATTCAAGCACTATAGGCGAATCTTTTGTCTTACCCAACTCCTCGAGCTCAGGAGGTAAATCGAACCTGAGGATATGCACCTTGAACTTGGGCTCTCGAGGGTTCGAATCTATCAGCTCAAAAACACAAGCATCATTCTCTTTCAAACTATTGCCGATCGCAAAATTTTTCCAGCCAGAACCGAACCTTGGTCGAGATGAATCTTTAGGGAAATGCACTTTCCAGTCCTTGCCACGGTGCCGAAGAATGACATGTGTCTCAACATTAGGAAACATTGACAAGGCACTAACAGGAATGCCCTGTCACATAAAAAACGGCACAATTGTT